CACCAAGAAAGATGATTTGGTAAAGAAAGGAAATTTTCCTCAAGGTGAAAAAACATTGCTAATTTTAATTGAAGATACTTCAGCGTTAGTAGCCACTGATAATTCTATCGTGGATGGTTATAGGGGACAAACTGGTGAGTCAGGTGAAGAAACAATAATTTTTTTTATCCCTGGCCATACACAGTACCAGTACCACTGTTTCAATAGTGCTACAGTTGATCTGATTTGCTGTATGTTAGATAAAATTGCATTTGTGTCTGATACAATAATGCAAAAATAGAAATGATTTTTTTTGTTGAGATTGTGAAACACCTTAGAGCCATTTGTACACTACAGAAATATCCTATTGCAATGTATCTTTATGAAAGCCACCTCAAACCCTTTTTTTTAATAAAAATTATAATAATATTTATTTGTTTACGTATGACTATTTCCTTGCTGGAGCCCTGGCAGTGCAGTGGTTATGCATTTGGCTGCTAACCAAGGGATCGGCAGTTTGAATCCACCAGCCACTCCTTGGAAACCCTATGAGGCAGTTCTACTCTGTCCTATAGGGTCGCTATTGGTCAGAATTGACCTGATAGCAATGAGTATTTCCTTGCTACTTGGGAAAGGGATCAAGGCAGCTTATATTAAAAGTACACATTCATGCTACAAATTAGTAAAGTTTGATCAATACGAAAAAGAGCACAGAAACATACAGAGAAAGGAGGAAATGATTGTTTCGTGTCTGGAGAATGAGTGTGTGACAGCCGAGGAGCTGGCTGGTGTACGGTGGAACCATGACTTCCCGGAATTACCCCCTTTTGGTTTCTACAAAAAGAGTTTATTTTAGGAATTCCAACTCTATTTGTTGAAAAGTTTGCCTATTGCAAAATCAGGCTAGGGATGAAATTTCTCCTAGGATGTTGATTGGACTCCCTAGGATTGATTCAAATTCAAATGTAACATACCCACCAAACCCAAAGGTTTGGAGGGTTAGGCTGATATAAACCCCCCAGGGACTCACACTCTCATAGGAAAGATGGATCTGTGCAAAAGTCACTCACACAAGGAAGGCTATGGAGTGCAAATGGGGGCACAGAAGATGAATTTTTAAAAAAATTATTTATTTTTGGAAGACAGATTTTGATGGAGGATGTGGCTGAGAAAATTTTGGGTTTTCCTTCGTCATTTACCAATTTCCTTGACTGGTTATTGCCTTGAAATAGTTTGGTTATTTTTGTCTCCACTGGGGCATGTTAATCCCAAAAACAACCCAAGCAGATGATGAATGCTTTCTGAACTTTCCGTTTCTAGATACTCTTCATCTGGACTCTGCACTACAAAGGTACAAAACACACTTTTTCTGCCTGCAGGATGCCTGGAATTACCTGAGTTCTAGGATCCCACCTCCTTAGCTAAACCGAAGTCTGAATTCTCATGGAGGAGAAGAAATAACACCAGCGTCTTACATTTGTACTGTGCAGTGTACTCTAAGTGTGATCTGCAGACCACATGCTTCTGAACCACCTGGAAGTGTTGGTTTAAAATGCGGTCTCCTGAGTGCTATGCTGAACTCATTTTGAACAGAATTACATACAGAGCAGAACCACAGTATTGCTTAATGAAAGTTTTCATCACCTGCCAAAAGACATCCATAGTATTATCTCTATTGAGCATAACGATAACCCTTCTTAGTGTTGTTAAAGCTGATGTGCTGTGTATGCCTCACCAGCCCCCAAGAAATCTTCTTCTAGCTCTGGGGAAGTCTACCATAATTTGACTTTATGAAGAGTTCCCCTTGGTTTTCGAAAGCTTGAAACGTGACACACCCCTTAAGTAGGGCAATCAGGACTCAAACCCAGCTTCTGTGACTCCAAGTTCAGTGCTCTTTCCACAACTCCTCTTCAAGCCCCATGGTCAGCCTCTGATTTCCTCTGCCAGCCTAACTTGGTGCTCAGCAGTGTTTCCACTTAGATCCCCTCCTTGGGGTCTGACAGTGAATGCAGGGTCTCTATTCTTTGAGGTCTCTTGCCTAAGAGAGGAAGTAGGGCCTGGCTCTTAGAGAGGGGGATTTTCAGAGCTCTAACCCATCAACAAGAAACCACGGTGGCGTCGTGGTTAAGAGGTACAGCTGCTAACCAAAGATTGGCAGTTTGAATCCACCAGGCTCTCCTTAGAAACTCTACGGGGCAGTTCTACTCTGTCCTATAGGGTTGCTATGAGTCGGAATCAACTCAACGACAACGGGCTTGGTCAACGGGTTTAACCATCAACACAGTTGGATTATCAGATTAGCTCCTCTAATATTACCTGGGAAGGCACAAATAATAACGACACTAAGCAGTTATTAAGTTTTTACGGTGTGCCAGTTTCTATGCTAAGCACTTTACATATTTTCCTCACAACATCCCTGTGAAGTGGGTATTATGATTATCTCCACTTCATAGATGAGGAAGTTGAGGCTCAGGTGCATTAACAAACAGGAGAAAATCGCACAGATATTAAGAGGAGGCTCCGGGATGCAAACTCAGGCAGAATTAAAACTCAGATGGTTTGAATGCAGGGCCTGTACTTTTAACTGTTATACTCTGGGAGCCTTGAGTGATTTGAAATGGGGTGAAGTTGTGCTAGAAGGGCTCTGGTGGGTTCCACCTAATAGCTTGCTAGGCAGGTAGAAGGAGGGGGAAATGCTGATTGAGGGAGGACTTTGGAGAAGACCTGGAGGAAGCTAGGCCAGGCATGGAGGACAGTGGACAATAGTTGGTGATAGTTTTGTTTCTGATAAATTAAAATGTTGAAAACACGGTTATACAGGAAGCTTTTTATGGTTTCCTTCTATATTTGACATGCAACTGATAAAGATAACTACGTGGGGAACTGTGTGGATCGGGGTGAGAAAGGATCATCTCCAGGTTTGGCTCACTTTACCATTTTGCTGACAGAGAGGCCTGGAGTTAGTAAAATATTCTCATAGGAGACTTGGAAGTACATTTGTCAGAAGTTAACCATTGAACTAGCTCATAAATATTTTGGATTTCGTGAAGCTTAATATTTTTCCAAGCACTGACTGGCCTACATTTTTACACCCAAGTGCTCTGTAGAGGAAATCTGATCCACACATCCTGGAGTTCTTTATACTCCAGCCATTTCAAATGATCTTTAGCAATAATTTTTCTTTTTCATTCCAAGGTCTCTCGCTTGTCTTTTTATAAACTCTTTCCCCCAATTTGGGAATCCACTTCTACTGATTCAAGTTTACTTGATGAAATTTTAAATTCAACTTAATTATACTATTTAACTTTGGATAGCACTTTATGGTTTGTGAACGACTTCATACACCATGTTTTAGGCTTAGCCACCCCCTTCCCCTCCAAAAAAAGTCCTCCAATTTATTTCCTTCTTTCCACCTAGCATTTGTTGAGCATTTATGTCAAGCTCTGCGTTTGTCAAGGTTATAGTCTAATTGAACATGTATGAGAAGCATGTTTGAACTGAACATTTTGAATTGAGTGAACATTCATTGACAGGCTGGTCTCAAGGTGACAAGTGTCCTGGAGAGAAGGACAGAAGTGATGGGGACACATGAGTCCTTATGATGGCAAGAATCTCATTTAAATGATGTCATTACATTAAGTTGGGAATCACTGACTTGCTGTTTAGAAATAAAACAGAAATTGTCATTGTTTATAGGCTTTAAAACTTCCAATTTGTGTTTAAACAATACCAATAAGATGGAGCAATCAGACAAAAACTTGAAAGGAATGTGGAGAAGCAAGTCAATTCAGTTGTTCTATTTAGATATAGGTGGTACCCAAAGAGCAAACCATTACGGGAAAGTTAGATTCTTAAGTGAAGTGTTGTAATGTATGTGAGGAAAGGAGAAGACTACGTTTCCTCTTAGCTTATTCAGGCAAGAAATATAAGTAATGAAAGAATGAATGAAAACAAACAAACTCAAAACCAACCTACCAAACAAATAAAACAACAAGCACGAAATTAGTTTTCTATTGTTTTCCCTTCTGTGATGGTTGCAGCATCCCAAGATGGTTTTGTATTTTATTAGCTGAAGTAGGCAAGAGATTCATAGTCTGAACGGACTTTGAGTGGTTATACTCTGTCTTCAGAAAAGCTTTCATTCTAAGTATCCCAGAAATCTCTCTCTCTGTCTCTTTCGGTAAATTATAACTTTTAAAAATTCACCCAGAAAAGTTTATTGACCCTTACAGCTGTCATTCCCAAACTGTGAACCTCAGACCTCTAGGGGTGGGGCAAGGAGTTAACGCAAGGAGCCTGAAAATTCATTAGCAAAGCAGCTTCTCACAAATATAACGATGATGGTGATGATAATCCAAACCAAACCAGTTGCCACTGAGTCAATTCTAACTTAGGGCAACCCCATGTGTGTCAAAGTAGAACTGTGCTCCATAGGGTTTTCAATGGCTGATTTTTTAGAAGTATATCACCAGGTCTTTCTTCCGAGGTGCCTCTGGGGAGACTCAAACCTCCAACCTATTAGTTAGCAGCTGAGTGCTTAACCATTTGTGCCACCCAGGGACTCCAATAATAATAATAGCTGCAATTTATTTGTTCTTACTATGTGCCAAGTATGCTAGAATATTTAAATAGATACAATTTAATTCTTAAAAACCCAGGAAGCAGGTACTATTATTATTATTTAGTCACTTGTAAAATGGGGAAACTGAGGCGCACAAGCAACATGACCTAACAAGGTTAGGAATACTGCTGCTTCAATTATTACTGTTGCTATTTTTCCTGGCATTACTCAGAGGACTTGAATGTGTCTAACGGTCTGCCTCAGAAAAGAATGAAAAGGTATCCCAGTTCTCCCCGACAAGGAAAATCCAATAATGTGTGAATGTGTGAAAGGGAAACCACCAGTTAGTCAGTTATCGCAGAAACTAAGAGTAGATCGAATTCTCTCCCAGGAGAGGCGAGCTTCTTTTCTAACCAACTTGAAGGAAAAACACATATACCGAAAAGCGTAGGGTACTCACTGAAGCTGGCAATGGGCTGCTGTCAGTATCCACTGCTGATGGATCAGAACTCCTCCACACACATGAGTTCCATCATACTGGATGGAGGCCATAAATGGCATAGAGTGAGGTGACACTTCTCTCCCTCCAATAATTTTCATGTTGAAACCTACAAGAAAACCAAAAGACTTAACATAGAACATCCAAGCAGACTGTTTTATGTAATTCTTCTGATGTCGGTCACTATATTATTTTCAAAGATAAAAGAAAAACCCTACAGTCTCCTAAGAGTTGTTATTATAATTTTACTGATGAATAACTGTATAATAATACATTATCGTTTAGAAGGATAGACATTATTGTGAAAATATTTTCTGTCTATAAAGTAACAATATAATTACTAGAAATTCATTTAATGATTGCACTTAGTAGGCATAAGAGATACTCACATTCTGGAGTCATATAAGCACCAGCTATTATGAAGAACAGGGAAAAAGAAGAAAACCTAGCCATTTTAATAATTTAGATATAAGAAGCCCAGATGAAATACTCTGACCCTATTGGCAAAGGAAGAAGGTTCTGAAGACCAAGTTTTTGTTTTGGCAAGTTTTAACTTTCTCACCACCGTTATTCTTTCACACCCTGCTTTCAGAGTGTGTTTTTTTTTTTTTTAGCTTGCATCTGAATTGCCACATATTTTACATACATTTTTTTTTTAAAATATTTTATTGTACTTCAGGTGAAGGCTTACAGAACAGATAGTTTCTCATGTAACAGTAACACACATGCTGTTTTATGACATTGGTTAACAACCCCACAACATTTTAACCCTCTAAATTCTCAACTTTTTTTTTTTTTTTTTTTGGTGAAAATACACATAGCCAAAGATACGCCATTTCAAAAATTTTTTTTACATACACATTTAAGTGACATTGACTACGCTCTTCTAATTGTGCTGTTATTCTCACTTAAGATGAAGGCTTACAGGACAAAATAGTCTCCCATTTGACAGTTACTACAAATGTTGCCCTATGACAATGGTTAACAATCTCACAACACATCAACAATATCCTTACTCTATTTTGTGTTCCCTATCATCAGCTTCCTACTCCCCTTCTGCCTTCTGGGCCTTGTCACTGGACTCCTGTACCTCGTTACTCTCATGGTTCAGAGTGTGTTTTTGTTTGGGGAGTTTCAGATCTATGTTTTAGCACTTTTGGGGGAGATATATGTGTGTACTAAAGAACTCGTTTCTGGAGGTAACCATGTCCAATACGTGTATAAGATTACTCATGTTATAAACAGTGAAATAAGTTAAAAAAAAATCCAAACTATAAGAACTTAATGAAGTTGCAGACAGTGTTCAAAGGCATTCAACAGTCTAAAGCAACACTTAAATTTTTCTGGCAGAAAATAATGCCTATCATATTTCATTTTTCTCCATTTTTCCTTTGGATATAGATTTATGATGCAGACATGTGGAACCTTACACAGATCATGGTTGCTTTATAGTGCGGCTTAGCTAAACCTGAAAGTCATCTAGAGAAATCCATAAGCTTTGTAGCAAACTTATCCCTAGTCATGCCATTTTCCCTAAACTTGACCAAATCTGGTTAAACTTTAGTTACATTTTTGGGAGATTTCATAATGTTATTAAAGAAGAACACTGGCAAAATAGTTTTAATTTAGAGTCTATGTTTTGCTCATTTTTAATTGAAAATGACCGTGTGTTTATCCAGGGATTTTATAATAAAATCTCTTAAAATTCAAGGATTGCGTTTTGTCATTCTCCAAGGGACAGATGACAATGCATTGCCAGGCCTTCTAAAGTACTTCTCCCTCACTACAAAAGATATTAAGTTCAGGATGCTGCAAGATTCTGTTTGCTTTCCTCATGCTTGGTAAAATACAGGGTCAGAGAAAAAGAGGAAGACCCTTGACAAGATGGATTGACACAGTGGCTGCAACAATGGGCTCAAACATAGTAACAATTGTGAGGATGGTGCAGGACCAGGCAATGTTTTGTTCTGTTGTGTACAGTGTCGCTATGAGTAGGAACCAACTCGACAAAACCGAACAGCGACTGCTCTATAGTGCAAACATTATGAAGTCAGTACAAATAAGTAAAGCAGGCACCAGAAACCCAGTCACTTTCCAAGAACACCGACCAAAACTTGCATTGAGTTAACAGATTTTGTTTTCGCTTTTCGAAAATATATGCATTCTATAGTCTATTTTTGTCATAAAGAAGAAGTGAAATCCTCAGCTATTATGCTTGGCAGATTGCAAGAAACTCCCACGAAATTGTTGTTTTCCGGGACAACACAGTAGGAGTTATTATTTTTATTGGCTTATATAAGTAAAGTGCTGTAAGTTATTTCCAAAATTCTCTTTACGTGGTCATTTATATGTTTTCATGTGTTACATCTGTGAGGAAAGCACGACGAGTATTATATTTAGGTTATAACTGAAGGAATAGGCTCAGAGAAGCTAAGTAATTTGCCCAAGGCTACACAGCATACAACCTAGAGCAAAGCACTTCCCTGATCTGAAATAATTTGTATCTAATAAAGACACTGCTAGAGCACAGAATCTGACAATTTGCCTTCTTTCACTTTACAGGGATGTGGCAACAATAAAGCTTTCTGTATATTAGATAAACAGAAATAACATACCCAGCAGAGCAGTGACTTTCTGCCAGAGAGAACAAAGGGTAAGACAAGGAGGAGCCAGGTGAAGAAAAGCTACAAACTTAATAAACCAAACTTGTTAGTTCCACTCAAAGCACCCATGAATTTTCAAGTCATCTTTGTCACTGCTGACGCACCTTGGATGCATCCCTCCTGTGTTACTTATCAAAGACGTAAAGTGGCCATGATGATGTCCAACAAAATAAAACCAAACCCATTGCCATGGAGTTGCTCTGAACTCATGGCAACCCCATGTGCTGCAGAGTAGAATTGTGCTCTATAGGGTTTTTTGGCTGTAAACTTTTTTTTTTTAAACAAAACTTACTTTAATAATTTTTTCCCCTTTTTTAAATTGTGCTTTAGATGAAGGTTTACAGAGCAAACTAGTTTCTCATTAAACAAATAATACACATATTATTTTGTGACATTGGTTGCCACCCCCACAATGTATCAACATTCTCCTCTTCTTGACCTTGGGTTCCTCACTTCCATTCATCCAGGTTTCCTGTCCCTTCCTCCTTCTTGTCCTTGTCCCTGGGTTGGTGTGTCCATTTTGTCTTTTATACATGATTGAGCTACATGTATTATTGTTTGTTTTATGGGCTTGTCTAATCTTTGGCTGAAGAGTGAACCTCAGGAGTGACCTCAATATTGAGCTAAAAGGGTGTCCAGGGGCCATACTCTCAGGGTTTCTCCAGTCTCTGTCAGACCAGTAAGTCTGGTTCTTTGTTGTGAGTTAGAATTTTGTTCTACATTTTTCTTCAGCTCTGTCTGCGACCCTCCTTTGTGATCCCTGTCAGAGCAGTCTGTGGTGGTAGCTGGGCACCATCTAGTTGTGCTGGACTCAGACTGGTGGAGGCTGTGGTAGTTGTGGTCCATTAGTCCTTTGGACTAATTTTTCTCTTGTGTCTTTGGTTTTCTTCATTCTCCCTTGCTCCAGATGGGGTGGGACCAGTAGAGTATCTTAGATGGCCACTCACAAGCTTTTAAGACCCCAGACACTACTCACCAAAGTAAGAAGTAGAACATTTTCTTTATAAACTATGTTGTGCCAATTGAGCTAGATGCCCCCTAAGACCATAGTCCCCAACCCTCAGCCCAGTAATTCAGTCCCTCAGGGAGTTTAGATATGTCTATGAAACTTCTATGACTTTGCCTTGGTCAAGGTGTGCTGACTTTCTCGGTATTGTGTACTGTCTTACCCTTCACCAAAGTTACCACTTATCTATTGTCTAGTTAGTGTTTTTCCCTCTCCATCCTTCCCCTACCTCATAACCATCAAAGATTGTTTCTTTTGGCATGTAAACCTTTTCATGAGTTTTTATAATACTGGTCTCATACAGTATTTGTCCTTTTGTGATTTACTTATTTTGCTAAGCATAAAGCCCCTCAGATTCATCCACGGTGTGAGATGTTTTGCAGATTCATCATTATTCTTCGTCTTTGCATAGTATTCCATTGTGTGTATGTACTATAGTTTGTTTATCCATTCATCTGTTGATGGCCACTTAGGTTGTTCCCATTTTTTTTCTATTGTGAATAATGCTGCAGTGCATATGGGTGTACATAAGTCTATTCCTGTGACAGCTCTTATTTCTCTAGGCTGTATTCCTAGGAGTGGGATTGCTGGATTGTTTGGTATTTCTATTTCTAGCTTTTTAAGGAAGCGCCATATCGTTTTCCAAAATGGTTCTACAATTTTGCATTCCCAAGTTCCCTGCAGCCTCTCTAACATTTGATATTTTCTGTTTTTTTTGATTTGTGCCACTAATGACGGGGTGAGATGGTATCTCATTGTAGTTTCGATTTGCGTTTCTCTAAAGGCTAGTGATCATGAGCATTTCCTCATGTGTCTGTTAGCCATTTGAATGTCTTCTTTGGTGAAGTGTCTGTTCATATTCTTTGTCCATTTTTTAATTGGATTACTTGTGTTTTTTTGTAGAGGTGTTGGATTTTCCTATAGATTTTAGAGATGAGACTTTTGTTGTATACGTCATAGCCAATATTTTTTCACAGTCTGTAGGTTTTGTTTTTACTCTTTTGGTGAAGTCTTTTGATGAATGTGTTTAATTTTTAGAAGATCCCAGTTATCTAGCTTATTTTATGGTGTTTGTGTATTGTTAGTTATGGTTTGTATCCTATTTTTGCCATGTATTAGGGCCTCTAGCCTTGACCCTATTTTTTCTTCTATGATCTTTATAGTTTTTTGGTTTATTTATATTTAGGTCTTTGACCCATTTTGAATTAGTTCTTCTGCATGGTGTGAGATATGGGTCCTGTTTCATTTTTTTACCGATGGACATCCAGTTTTGCCAACACCATTTGTTAAGAAGACTCTTTTCCCCATTTAATGGACTTTGGGCCTTTGTCAAAGATCAGGTGATTGTAGACGGATGGATTTAAATCTGGGTTCTCCATTCTGTTCCATTGGTCAATGTGTCTGGCCTTGTACCAGTACCAGGCTGTTTTGACTACCTTAGCTGTATAGTAGCTTCTGAGGTCAGGTTGTGTGAGCCCTCTTACTTTATTCTTCTTCTTCAATAGTGCTTTGCTTGTCTGGGGCCTCTTTGCTTTCCATATAAAATTAATGATTAGTTTTTCCATCTTGTTAAAGAATTCTGTTGGTATTTGGATGGGGATTGCATTGTATTTGTAGATTGCTTTGGGTAGAATCGACATTTTTCACAATGTGAGTCTACCTATCCATGAGCATGGTATGTTTTTCCATTTATGTAGATCTCTTTCCACCATGTGTCTGTAATTTTGTCATCTTGTGGTGGCCTGTGTGTTGCTGTGATGCTGGAAGCTTTGCCACCAGTATTTCAAATGTCAGCAGGGTCACCCTTGGTGGACAGGTTTCAGTGGAGCTTCCAGACTAAGAC